TTTTCAGATCAGTTTGGAATCCAAAAATGATAAAAGAGAAATCGTGGCGAACCTGGGTCGCGCCATCGTGAAAAACAAGATGATCATAATCAGCTGGATCAAGATCCTCAGTATCTACGACAGCGACGTATTTTCCAGTTACACGGGCTCTGGATAACTGCGAGTGAACGGGAAAACATGAAATACCAAGGCATTTGTCCAGTCCATCGACTCGGTTGCGCGTGGGGTACACTTTTGAACAAGCTCATCTCGCCTCTATACCGAGGAAACAAAAGGCTACAGCCGAGGCGTTCAGGAAACGATTTGCATTCCGCTCGACTTCGAAATACTGGAGGGTCACATGCCATTTTATCAAGTCGCGCTGGGCGAAAGGCTGCAATACGAACTGATGTTTAACGATTATAGCCAGGTTGTTTACGTTGAGAACGGTGAGGGCAGGTATGCCATTGACAATATTTCGATGGAGTTATACAAGGTCACGAATCCGGAATTGCCTTGACAAATTCGCAACCAGTATTCGGGAACGCTAGCCAACCTGTATGATTCTGTGCTGCGGCAGATTGTCGTCAATAAAAGCGATACGTTGTGGAATATCAATCTGAACTTACCCGCTCGAACGATGAAGGGTATTTTGATCCTGACGGTGGAAGAATTTTTTCCGTTTCAAAGAGTCAACGAAAAATATTTGAACCCTGAGATTATCAAAGCAGAAGTGACCATCGAGGGCGTGCCTAATCAACTGTTTAGCCAAGGCATGCGAGCTTACCAACAGTGGGACGAGATCCAAAAATTACCGGGGATCAAGTGCCCATTGGAAATCAACATGATCTTGAAGGATCTCGGTCTCGCCTACGTAACACTAGGGCAATACCTCACGACCAAGTACATGCTGTGGCTGGACATGCGATCAACGGACGACAATCGGCTGCATTGGAGCAGACGTCGCATCGACAACGGCAGCGAGGGGATTACGAAGCAAGGGTATTAAGATCCAAATTACCACAAAAGCTCAAACTGCTTGTGCATTAAATTTATATTTGTACGTGATTATGGATGTGCAGCTTAATATAGACATAGAAGATTCGTGCCTGACTTTGCAGGTGAACAAGACATACACGGAGAGAGCGTGGGTGATGACAGCCCCGGACGTGCACAAAGTGGATCCTGGAACGCGTCTGCAAAACTGGTTAAAAGTTTACCACGACAAATTTAAAGGGGCGTCGACGCTGTTCATCAAAGATGACTGCAGCGCCAACAAGGAAATTGTTTAAAAACGAGACATGCTATCGTACCTGGCCTTCTCGAAAAACACAGCGTTTGGGTGCTGTCGCAAAAATTCAACTCGGTGCTCAAAGACCTGCGGGAGCAGATGCGATCGGTGGCCCTGTTTCACTGCAAGGACAGGGATTCGTTCGAGGAATGATTGCGTGAAAACGTGATTCCGAGCAAACAAGAATGCGACCACATGAAAAAATAGCTCGCCGAAACGAAACACGCCAAACTGCTATTGAAAATGGACCAACAAGTAGCTTATACAATCCGCTAGCTTAATCAAAATTCTAGCATAATTTAAGCAAATTTTAGAAAATGTTAGTATACCTTAGCATAGCCTAAGCATGTTCGAAATTTTCGTTGCGTGTCACTTGACTTTCCTATCACTGTGTTTCGCGTGCGTTGGATTTTATTTTATTAGATTTAAAAATAGTTTGCTATATATATTATTAAGATGGAGTGCAACGAACTGCTCGAGTATATGATGGATAATAATAAAAAAACACGACAAGCGTGAGAGACTGGAGGCGCTGGAGGTCGGTGGAAAAGCCAAACAATAATTCGGTGGGGACTGGACTGCCTGCAAAATTCAAAAAATGCCTGTCAAAGAAATCGATGAGCTGTACGTGAGATACGAAGCCAGACTCGGCGCCAAAATGACGAAAACCATAGGATTGGCCATGACGCAAATATACGTCGGCATCGCGTCGTATTTCCTTCCCACTCCACCAGAACGTCGCCTGTACATGTGCAAAGACCTCGAGAAAGATCCGTTCATCCACCACGCCTTGAGCCCCGTCAGCTGTGACATGTTTCACTGGTACGGAATGCTACTGGCTCCTCTGACCGTGGCGATCATCACAGTGAAGCATTTCCGATTTAAAGAAAAAAAATAATATAAACAATAATAATATACAAGATGGAGGAGGAGGAAATTGTTCCCAAGGAGGAGACAGAAGAACCGGTGATTAATACCATCACCAGACAAAAGAATACACAAAAGGTAGCCGCCGGTCGCAAAGGCTGGTTGGCTAAACAGCAGAAAAACTTATTTCAAAACTCGTCAAAGAGAAGGATGACGGATTATCTGCCCAAATTTAAACAATTAGAGATGTGATTTCACATGTGGTTATAGTGAGTCTATTAGAGATTCGACTTCGCATCTCAATATAAATATTTATTTTAGGAAAGCTTTTGTTCACACATTGATATAGTGACAATGTTTACCCTTCAAGCATTGAAAGCGATGGCCAAAGAATGTGGCGTGGTTGGTTACTCCCGATTGAAGTAAAAACAGCTTTGAAATTATTCGATGTTCAGAAACCTCCCACGGTCAAAGAGCTCAAACTCCGAGCTAAAGAAAGGGAGTTGAGAGGTTATTCCAGACTGAGGAAAGCTGAGCTGATCGAACTCCTGGAAGACAATGAGCCGGTCGAATTACAATTCGTGGTGGACACCATCCATACCATCTATCTGGATATAGCGAACTACAGGCTGTTTAAAGGCGGATCGTACCTAGATTTGCCTCCATATTACAAAAAAAACCAAGCCATCATTAACGTTAAAAACAATGACGATAACTGCTTAAGATGGGCACTAAGATCCACCTTATTCCCCGCTGATTCTAAAGTGGCGAATAAACTTTCCAGCTGTCCCACAGACGATGGGCTTAACTTCAAAGGTATAGACGCACCCAAACCATTTAGCCATCAACGTCTTCGGACATGATAAGGGCACGGTCGTGCACAGATTAAGCTCCGCTCCGGAAAACATACCCATGATCAATTTATTTCTTGTCGAAAAAGGGGGCAATTATCACTACACGTGGATTAAAATCTTAAGCCGACTGTTGAATGATCAATCCAACCACAAGGAAAAGAAACACCTCTGCGAACGCTGTCTGCACGGCTGGACGCGAGCTGACCTGCTGGAAGCACAAAAGGAAGACTGCCGAGGCGTGGGACGAACCGCGATCAGGATTGACAAGCCCGAACAAAAATAAAAATATGATCCAATTTAACCATTATAAAAAAAAAATGCCCATGCCTTACGTGATCTACGCCGTCTTACAACTGCTCACAACAGTTATCCGCTGTCTCTCGGACTGTTAAAAGTTGACCAAGACTAGATGTCTGACTATCAGCGGGACTTGTTGGGCATGACGAAACCAGCTCAGGTGGAAAAACCCGTGCCCAACTTGATGAATAAAACCAAGTACATCGTGCATTATAGGAATCTGCAACTGTACTTATCGCTCGGTATGAAGCTGAAAAAATACACCAGGTGCTCAAATTTAATCAAAGTCCGTGGATGGAACCCTTCATTCGATTGAACACCGAGCTGAGAAAGCAAGCCACGAGTGACTTTGAGAAAAAAGCTCTATAAATTGATGAATAATTCGGTGTTTGGCAAAACGATGGAAAACTTGAGAAAACGCACTCCATGTGAAATGATATGTCCTTACACCATGGTGTACAATACAATGAAGGTAAATGATCAATACGTCCTTCCTTCCCTCACTTTTAAAACTGACACCGTAAGTCCTCATGATGCCCAGTAAGGTGGTCTAACTTTGGTTGCTAGTGGTCTATAACATAGTTTTAATTTATCCCGAATCTTCTGTTTTTAAATACTTACCTGCTTTGTTTCATAATTGAACTGGGATATCTATCTTGCAGTTTTAATGCCCTTTGTAGACATGAATCAAATACCTTTGTCTCATTGATATATGGCTGCAGTATTGTTCACCCTTGGATGTAAATATGCATACTTTGTCCATCTTTGTACTATCTAGTATGGTGATCTACCTTCAGTTGTTGGCAATCTATAGCCTGTTTTTACATTGTCTTGTCATTTCTAGTTAACATGTTTTAGATTTAATTACTAGTTTTAAATGGATATCTGTGATACACTACTAGTTTTACTGTTCTTCGTTAACAGACTTTTAATTTCCTTGATCTACAATATAATATAATGAATTGTTCTTGTCACGATGTGGCTGAAACATTGCCGATGTGACGATAAATATTTACTCACTCACTCACTCAAGGGCAATAAACAGCGGTTTCAATGTCATACACAACTTTCGTGGTTACAGAAACATCTTTAGTGAACCAAAAAATAGGCTGCATCTTGAATACGACTTCGGCCGATATGGTTTTGAAATACTTTTGCGTTTATAACAAATAGGACTAGATGCATGCCAACTAATGATCTGCGAACATGTGATGTAACTATATAGGCACTGTGACATAGGTGTGATAATGACACACTCTGGATTTCTAGGATTTCGTTTCGCTCTATGATCAAGAGCATAAATTTTCGTGTAGCGGATATTTGGTAATCTTGATTATTTTAGAACTCACAAATAGTACCTTTCCTTACATCAAATGCAGATACAATTGTTTGCTGTACAAGAACACCTCTCTTCCAGAGTATACCATTTTACGTCGTCAATATGCCATGCAAGAATACATGTATATTCAATACAGGTACAACCGATCGACGTCTGCTTAAAAATAAACCCAAATAACATTTAGTGAGATTTCAATGAAAGGTCACTTCTTCTCATATTTTAAGTAAACCCAAAAAATTAACAAACTGTTCATACACCAATAATAGCCGAAATGTTTCCTTTTCCGTAAAATCCTATCTCAAACAACGTTTTGACACGTTGATTATCGCATTCTTTCAAATCGGACATAAAGGTAGATAAATAATATACACACCTGTATGCGGAGGCAAATGTTGATCAAGGCAAACGATGACTACAATGGGGAAAATGAACAGAGAGTACCATCCATTCATCATGATCAGTCCCATCATTTAGAAACCTACATACCAGCACATAACCAGGAAGGTGAAATGTTATCTTTACAAAAGCTAACCAGAAACAAGCGTTATGACAACATGCGTGCAGCTGTAGTGTTAAATATTGATCGAGTCCATGTTATCAGCGTCAGAGTCTAGATCGGGTTGTTTATATCTTTCAGCCCGTCATCCCATGGTGACTTAAAGGACAGTATTATTTGGTACGAATGCCCGATGATATGCATTTTATTGACGTATTTGATCATCCATACGTGTCCCTATCATCAAAACGTTCCCGTATTCTGTCGTTGAACTTCCTCTGAATTAGCCTTTGTTGTGCGGAGAAGCATCATAATGTTTATTGAATGATAAGCGATTTCTCATATACATTGCTTTATGAGTGATATAGAAGATAAGGTTCTCATTCAATATTGTGTGCTGCGTCTTGTATATATCTAAGCCTTTTCAGACAAATTCTTTCCTTTAGTGTCTTGTTTCTAACCGATACATTATACAAATTTCTTTGAGTGGCATTTACAAGCAGATATGATGAACAGGAACGATTTTTGTATGGATAGACTTCTTTTTGCAATAGATGCGACGTTTCCGTGTGGATGCTAAGACCGTTATCAAGCAAGTCACCTGCACTTGTACATACACTTGTGTTTCCACCTTGGCTTCTGACCCGTGAAGATCCGGGTTAGAATCGGTCTTCAGCAACCCATGCCTGTCGTAAAAGGCGGCTAACGGGATCGGTTGGTTAGGCTCGCTGACTTGTTTGACACATATTATCATCGTATCCCAATTGCGTAGATCGATGCGCATGATGTTGATCACAGGAATGTCTGGCCAAGACTCGATTATTCACAGACAGCCGCCACATAGCTGGAATATTGCTGCTTGCGGCGTTAACGAAACATCCAACCAACCAAGCTTAGCATCTAATGCTGATAAGACCACATGGTTGCCTCCTTTAGACGTACCCGAACAGTACGTGACTTCGACCTGATAAAGATCATAGTTTTGCACCATACTCATGCTCGTGTGGTGTCATATGTATCATCTCAAGCTTTCCGGTACTAGGCATGACATGACATGACACGACATGACATGACACGACATGACTGAAACACGTCATGACTGAACCACGACATGACTGAAACATGCGTAAACTGATGTTGAACCGATCTCACTCTGTAAACACAGAAACGTTAACACGTAAAATAGTTTATCATAGAGAATAAACTGGATTGTGAATAAATGTTTGACATTATCTGCTTATCAAAATGTTCTGAACACAGAGCAGCATTAGTTTTCCTGACTGCGCATGTATTGTGCCTTTTCATACTGTGTCGTAGTTGTACAGTCATTTATACGCCTCGTAAACCTCATTATAACATTGCTTGTTATCATATCCGCTCGAATACATACAGCCACGTCAGTGTAGTGTAGTCGTTATTGGCAGACTGTAATAACTCTCAATGGTGAGGAAGTATGTAATAATTTGTGATCCAGTCCGATTTTAACGGACGCCATGGTATGGTCATCGTCACACATTATTTTCAATAACAAAGATTACGTATGGAACCATGACTACTATCAACGCCATTGTTTACCTGATTCTGATGCAGGCATGGAGTCAAGGTGAGACACATACATATACCAGATGAGGAATCATCTACATTCCAAGTAATTGGAGACATAAATGTACATAGATCTTACAAATTGTTTTAATTATGAATGCATATACATTGCACATTGAACAATCTTTCTTAGTTTTACCTTTGTTATTGGCTGATGTATCAGCTGATATTCATATCAACGCCAACCTATGTTTGTTACAGTGTCCGGTCAAGACTCCAACTGCCCCCAGAAGTGTACCGCAGGTAACGTTGTTGCTTATTTTTTATTACGGCTGCTACAGGTAGGGCAGGTCAGGAGTTCTGCCGCATCCTGACAAGATCTTCTGCATACATGGTCTGTGGTATTTAGCCTCAACAGCACGAATGTCACCCGCTGTTGCAATCCTAGCTTTGATTTCTGTGGCTTTCTTATCAGATCTCTGATTACAAACTTGTAACAGTGTACCTTGTAAGATGTTTGTTTTTCCAATATTACGAACACATTCAATACTGGTTACTGCAGAGGCCTGGCTAGGATAACGACGACCTTTAACAAAATCAATTTCTTCAGCACAGATTAAACAGTGAGTATCAAAGTTAAAATTTGTGTCCAGTGTTCGCAAAACCCTTGTGGTTGTTAGACATGTGGAAGCTGACTGAGTGTTGACAACCAATCTCCTACCCAGAGTTCCATTCGGCAAGCCAGCATAGTACCTCTGCACCGTCCATTCAATATAATATTTTTACATATTTATTAACTCTTTTATTTTTGACGAGCCTAAAGATCTAATTAAACATCTTTGATAGAATGGTTTAGTTTCAATGAGAATATCCTAAAACATGTAACACTATTTCGATTTGCGTAGCGATCCTTTGTTTACATAGGTTGTACGGCTCCACGTCCTGTCATTGAAACCGACAGAGAGCAAATGATACAACCAGTTTGATATCTAAATATGTACTGTCATGAATGTTACTGTCGCAGTTGTGGAAGGATATATATGTAACAATGTAAAACATTGTGAAGAGCGCGCCGAAAAGCTTGCGTAAGACCAGTCATATATTCTCACATACGACGTTAAACCCAATTTCATTTTACCCAACCTCACCTCACAAATACATTGCACATTGGAACGATGTTTCTTAGTTTTACCTTTGTTACTGACTGATGTATAAGCCGATATTCATATTAAATCAAAGTCTATGTGTGTTACAGTGTCCGGTCAAGACTCCAACTGCCCCCAGGACTGTACCTTAGGTAACGTTGATATCACTGTTTTGATTACAGGTGGTACAGGTAGGGCAGGTCGTGATTACAGTTTACATCTGATTTTCAGTTACCTGTTCATAAAATATTTTGCCTATAACAGCCAACAGAATATGTTTTGTCAATGATTCACTAGAATACTGAATGTGCTCTCAAATGGCGTTGCTATGTATTTTACTATTTGTATCAGCACATTAAATTTACGCCTTGACATTTACAACTTGTTACCAACATGTAGCAGCTTTTGTATTCAGTATTTGATGTCATTCAACAAATAGGGGAAGAATGTTGATATCGATGTTTTGTTCACGGTGCACATCTGGTTGTCAGTGATCCATTCATATAATTGACAGTATCACTTTGCCTATTACAGCTAAAGAATTCCATTTAGTCAATGAATCAATATAAAACCTAATTCCCATTCAAATCGTCACTAGGTGTTATATTGCTTATATTTGCATATAGGTTAAAACAGTCACTTCTTGCTGACAACAAGAGTACAAGTAGTATACGTATTTGTATTTTACAAGGTGTCAATCAGCACAAGATATGTGATGTACTACAAACAACGTTACGTTTTTATCATGAGTGAGTGAGTTTAGTTTTACGCCGCACTCAGCAATATTCCAGCTATATGGCGGCGGTCTGTAAATAATCGAGTCTGGACCAGACAATCCAGTGATCAACAGCATGAGCATCGATATGCGCAATTGGGAACCGATGACATGTGTCAACCAAGTCAGCGAGCCTGAGCACCCGATCCCGTTAGTCGCCTCTTATGACAAGCATAGTCGCCTTTTGGGGCAAGCATGGGTCGCTGAAGACCTATTCTACCCCGGATCTTCACGGGTCTCGTTTTTATCATGCCTCATGTCCGGAAAACATAAAACAATAACAATATGCTAATGCTGAAAGGTTATGCATGTTAAAGGTATTACAACTGGAAAGGACAACCTGAAGAAACGGCATAATATAAAACTCTATGACCAGTAAGTAAAATAATTCCTATCTGCCATGCGATGGTGTTATGTAATGTACATCAACATACCACAGATAATGATACTGTTTATTATTACAGTGACTATAGCAGCGAGTAACTTTACATCTGGGGACAACAGTGCTCACAACATCACTGGGCAGGCATCCTGGGTTACTGATGGTGTGACGTCAGGGCAGTGTGCATCAGTCTCGTCAATATACCCAGCATGGGAGGCGGAGTTTACACAGAGCAGGACAGTTACCAGGATCAGGATATTCTCGGAAGGTACTGTGTCATCAGAAACACAAAATAACGAATGCGTACTAATACGGACAAAATTCATAGTACTAATACTGACATGGTCTTTATATCGGACAAGCACTTTATATGTGACATCTTAAACATTAATTGACCAGCTTTGAAATCTATTATGTTACAGCAATGCTAAAACACACCCGAATATGTATTTAGTGTAAGGTATTGTGTTCATTCTTCTCAACATATTCCAGATCAACAGGCTGACGTATATGTGTCTGTCGATGGCAGAATATGTCACACCCCGCAGAACTCTTCCTACATATGGACACCAGAGTACACCCTGGAGTGTGATGTACCCGTGACGGGGGACCATCTCCGGATATATCGCCAACCTACAATAGGGATGCTGAATCTGAGTTTCTGCGAGGTGGAAATATACGGTACTAGAAATATATGTATTTGCCTAAACCACTCAACGGTGTTATCAACGTTTAATTTGACTCTTAAACCTGAAGACATGTCTATTCCTCTTTTATACTGGATTCCAAAACTACATAAAAATCTTTGCAAGGAGAGATATATTGCTGGTTCCAGAAATATGTACCACCAAATCCCTGTCTCAAAGATTAGCCATAATCATTAATACTATCAAGGACTTAGGACTTTCTCGATATTCACAGAAAGATTTTAAGACATGCGGAATTAATACCATGTGGATTCTCAAAAACTCAGAAACATTTCAGCGTTGTATATGACCAACTTAAGGGAAACATTCATTCCCTGATCCATGGGGCATAAACAAACGTGGTGAACAACGAAATACCTACACACAAATCTTCAGAGGTTCAGGACACTTTGTGGGGCGGTGGGGTAGCCTAGTGGTTAAAGCGTTTGCTCGTCACGCAGAAGACCCGGGTTCGATTCCCCACATGGATACAATGTGTGAAGCCCATTTCTGGTGTCCCCTGCCGTGATATTGCTGGAATATTGCTAAAGCGGCGTAAAACTAAACTCACTCACTCAGGACACTTTGTCAATAATGAAAGCAAATGTCATTGGAAGTTTACAGAGAAAACAATGTGTGAAATATTTCTCATTGATAACACCTTTGTAAAATTTAGGGTAAAACATTTGGCCATGAAGTAGACATCCCCATGGGCACCAATTGTTTCATGGTAGACATGGGGAGGAAATTTCCAAATTTGATGCATCAGTGACAAAAACAATGTCCGATGCAATTTTGACATATACCATACGTTCCCGAATTATACAACTGACTAGACTTAGCATGTGTTTATGACGGGTGCCACCGGTGGGGCACGATACGCTCATCTTTTCGTGAACACCTGGTATCACCACTATTTCATAGTGATTCATGGACACATGCTCTGTCATAGTATCGCATGGTAACAATCGCTGGATTGTCTGGGCCAGAGTCGATTGTTTACGGCTGTGATACTGCTGATACAAGTATATACTCATGATTTAGTCACAATTGTACAAACGATTTTTTATGGATGTGGAAAGGGTTTTGTCGCTTCTATTGATGAATAGCAACATACAATATTGTCAAAAGATGCAAAATATTCTTAATATCAAGACTAAAGCTATACACGTCATACGATCGTAGTCACGATATGGCTGAAATATTGCCGATGTGACTTTTTATTCGTGATTTTTCACTCACTCACTCACTCATGAAATCATGAGATCACTCATGAGATCATCAAATGATAACATAGAACGTCAATGCAAAAGAATACCCAGTTTTGACTATTTTCAGAAACAAATTCCGAAAACAGAAAGTTACAAAATATCTGTTAAAATTATATAAGATGCTCGCATAAAGGATAATCATGTCCTGTTCTACCGGTAGCACCCGTCACTCACAAACTTGTAAACTATTTTGTTGTGTTACACTGCACAGCAGTACTCATGCGCCTGTGAACAAACCAGACAAGTAAAACAGACCTCGACTTGGGTGTACCTAGTCTGAATACACGAGACGTTCACTAACACCACCAGGAAGCTGGCTTTGATGGGACGTTATAGAAATGTGTTCTGGTCAAACTTGAGGATATATGACATCAACGTTAGATGACATCCATCTGACTGTGTGTGCGGTTGTATATCTTCACGAAACTGATATCTGAATCAGTATCATTAGCCCAACGCTTAAGGTCTGGTTAAGTATATTGATATACTGTCGACTGCAGACACTTTACCGCTTCCAAATCAGACACATGTGTAGCATTAGAAATACCTTCCATTCAAGCTACGTATCAATATAGAAAGATATGCATGTGTTTCTTTAGCTGTGCCGCTGGAAACGTCTTCTTCAATGTCTTCTTCCACAACTACTACCATGCCAACAACATCCAAGACATTGTCTACGACAAAAGTGACTACTTCACCAATAGGTACAGCGTTCTGGGTCACTATGTCCACTACTGCACAAACATCCAACACAATGGCAACACCACCAACAGCGACAGCAAACCAATCGGAAACATCCACGCCTCCATCTGGTGAAGGTAAAAGAAGTGATGTATTTGTTTGGGGGGTTCTTCAAAGACGAACGGGTTAAATTCTTGCAGGTTGTAGTTCTTGTCACAGCAGAGGTACGCGCAGTTAATAACCAGTTTAAATCTCACAATGATATTGCATGTATTGAAACAGACTTGGAGAAGGATTATTGTTACACGTGACATTTCAACAGCAGAATTAGTAAGTGCATGTTCACATGTCATTAAAGAAATAAACAACAGTTAAATTGTATACTCGGACAAAACTATGTCCCTTCGAGTCTTTCACTATTGTTAATCACTGCAGGTGATCAAGACCGATTTATATCGCTGACCTTTTATGTTTGTATTACATTGTGGGTACGACATCACGCCTGTAATTATAATATGTATATCATACTCGCATGTACACACATTAGAAGAAAACACTTTTCACCATTTACTAATTATATATACTTTGAGGTTATATGATTAAGAATCAAGCAAGTCATATGTAAGGTGCTATTGCAAAGGGAAGTCATTTTAGTATATAAAGTCAGATATATATCTCTGCAGGCGTAAAATACCTTTTTCGATTCTGAAGGAGCAGTATTCAATCACATTATGCTGCATGGTAACGGGTGCAAAGGTTGTTTGTGTTGTAGCTAAAAGAAGCATGTCATTGTTGAAAAGGATATCAATGCGGCATACACATGTCTGTTTCACATATAAACATTTAAATGTTCTATGTGTTAATATCTAATGGGTTTGATTTCCTCGCTTGAATGTATCTCTACATTTTCAGAGTACCCTGATAACAGGTTCCCGTTACTGTACGTCATTGTCGTGGGTGTGGTGGTTGCTGGTGTCGTCACTGTTGCAGTTGTTGCTATTGTGTGTGTGAGGTATGGTGCAACTATCAACAGTTCGTAAACTATTATGCTCTTGATACAAATGTTGTATGATTTATCATAACAGAGCATACTAAAAGGTTTCGCTGAAAGATTAACGGGGATAGGCTGACCTCAAAATTCTGTTCAAATTTGCTCCCCTTGACAATGATAACGTCAAAACATCCTGACGCAAACGTCCTCCTTAACTGGAAATAACTATACTTTCACTGCACATTTGGGCAGAGGAAACAATGACATAAGTACCTCTGTTCTATCAGAGGAATTTGGTTTGTTTGGTCGTTTCACCTGAACCGGATTTTCAAATATTGTTTGGAAGCACCAGTGTAAAGTCATATTCATAATTCGATGTTTCAGGAGACGGAAAGGAAAAGGCCCCAAGAAAAGGACGCTGAAGAAGCAGCTGTGCCATCTTATGAAGAGTGCATAGCGGAACCCGTCGATCATACTCGGTACCAGAACATACAAAGCCACAGAACACCTAGAGGATGGTCAGATCAAGGATCCATTTATGTTAACACGACAACAACTACCAGTCTTGCGAACATTTATGAAAACGAATGCACCTCTGTCAACAACGAATACGTTAATGATCAGAATGTGTCAACAGGAACATCATGCTATGTCAACGTTGGTTCTAATAATCAAGACATCGGTGAAGCGGAAGAATCAAACATGTATGTTAATACTAATGATTTTAGTCTGTACAAAATACCCCAAATATCCTCACTTAAGATTGGTGCCTATTGTCGTTCAGGTGAAACATAACTCGCATGGAGCTATTAACGTTGCGGTATCGTCCGTGAAGACCATCATATTCTAGTACTTTGCCCATAAGGGCGAGGGTTATGGATGGAAAAATTAGAAGTGATCACATTTTCGAACACTTAAAATAATTCATTGACATATGTTTTTCGAAAGCTGGTTCATCAACCAGTCCTCTGTGACAACCACCAATAATAACTTAATGATTCAATATTCAAATTTGAAAACACCTGAGAGTCAGAAGGGGCAAGTTCTGGTGAACCTGTACGAAGAGGTTCGTTCCCACAACACCGCACATAAGTGTGACAACGTCCCGCTAATTCTGTTTAGAACTCCTTTCCATCACATGTTCATGCACTCATATAATACTTATAAAGCTTAATCAAATGTTAAAACTGGTGCGTTTGTACACGGTACCATTTAGCGAAAATGTAACATGATAGCGTTCAATAAGACGTATTGCGTGTGTAATGAGCCTTTTATGAATAAAATCATTGTTGAACTACAATATCCTTCATATCCTATTTTCCTTGTCCATAGCGTTGTTTATCACTGGCTTGATAACGGTGTTAGAAACCATCTACATCGAAACGTCGCACCCACTGCAATAAAGATGTTATCCATAAAATAATTGTTCTTGTTCGGCTTCTAAAAGATGTTAAATGAACATGTAAAATCCAGAGTCTCGTCTTATTCGTATTTCATTTTAAAGAGTACGTGATACTGGTTTATGGTATTATCTTTCTCGAGTGTAAACCTAATTATGTATGTCCCAAAATAACTTGTGATCATCCACTGATGTTATGTGATTATTTACTCATTTCAAAATGTAGCATAAAACAAATACTTAAAAGTTTTGGTACTTAACATTTTAGCCCTTAAAAGCACACTATCACGTCACACTTCTCTAAAACCAATATTGTAACTATCAGCCCCCAGCGAAACTACTATATACTTTATTCCGAAAAATATTACGTATTACAATTTGAAATTAAAACGTTCGAATGAATTAATGCAACATTGCATTAGATCGACTCTCGCGCCCTCTACCGACCGACCGTTTTTCAAGCGAACCTCATAAAGTTATGTCCCTTGGAATGCTCGTTACGATTATCCCATGTGATTGCGGCAAACACCGACAACACCGCGTGCGACAGTTTTCGACAGTGCGACAGTTTTTGACATCTCTAAAGTTCTAGCACTGATATCGACGCACTTGACTGCCATTCACGCTTTCAGATAATTGCCAAGTAAGGGTAGCCCAGGCAATATGGTTATCATATCAGGGTTGGATAGCTATGACACAAAGGTCAAGTGAAGTGTAACAGTTGCGACAACACGGAAAAACCTGTCACATTGTAGCTTGTGCTTGACGTGCGTCAGGAGGCATTCGGGCTATTCGTGAAATCATGATGCCTATACTGATGCTCAGTGATTTACTCTACTTTGCTGTTTACACCAAGTGGAATATATTCCGTTTGATTATCGAGACTGGTTATTGCCAGGCATTGACGTCTCACGTTCATCATCCATCTGCCCACGTACTACTGCATTGTGAAGGATGTTATCAGTTGTGTGTTCCAGTTGAGGCAGTTATGGGAATGCCCCAAAATGTAGTGACACCTCTTTGCAGATCATACCGTTAGTGACAACATCTCTTCATATACTCATCCCACATATTTTTAAAAGTAGGGGAACCTGAAGTATCAATTTGGATTGAAGTATAAACTTACAAAGACATACATCTTATGAAAGCACCACAATTTTCCTTATCACCCACCCATGGGATGCACGTGACATGCGTAACGCAGTAGCCCGATACACGTCCATTGGGTGGCATACTTGATTTTGACGGTTTTCAAGCAGGTCAATAAATCTCTGTAGACCATTAATTTTGACAATCATCTTGCATCACAAATTTGTTAGTGTTTCATCCAGCCTGTATTTTTTGTTTGAAGATGAAAATTGTACACATGCAAATTTCACGTCTTTCTATTTTTCAAGAGCGATTACTGTACAAACATTCCTCATAAGGAAGTGCAAGTGGTGATACACCCTCAAAACATCCATAATAATAATATAATCATTGATTGACTCCGATATATCTCCCAATTTCTTCAATAATTAATTAAAACTGAAGTTCCCTGACTTTGTTTTGAGGAGTACATTACTTATCACGAGGAATGTTATCACAGTAGACCCGCACGCATTTTCCTGTAGACACAAAGGACGATTATTCAGATATCAATCGTATCTCAGTCAGTTTAGAAATAATTGTATAAAAGCGACATACTCCATTCTATAATGCACCGACTACATCACAATCATCTGTTTAAGAATCACCATCAAGCAGGGATCACACCTCTGAACACTCTGTCATTGAACGGCGGATTTAATATTCATTTTTCTGAAATAGACAATTATTGTATTTATACACCATATCACAGCATACACACGACCTGGCTTACTGTACCTTTTCTAGTACACATAATGTGTACAGCATATGAACAGTATATAGCAAAATTGATCTTCTGAATGATGTGTGCCTATTTTCACGCACATATATTTACCAACAGAAAGAGTGAGCTTCGCTGGTGAGGTCGTAGTGTCATTTCTGATCTCGTCTCCTCTTAATGAACTTAATGGTATGGTCTCTAAGGATGAATTCATTTCATGTCATACTCAACCAATGTGGAACCATGGTTACCCAGAACGCCATTGCTTACCTGATTCCGACGTTTATATGGAGCCTTCAAGGTGAGCTGTATACTTCTGCTACACACATAAATCTGGTGCGAATGATGAAATACCTACATTCCTAGAACCTGAAACATGAGCATACACAAACAATTTAGAATAAACATACGCAGTGACAATTGCATTGGATTCACAGACAAATGCTTTGAAAGCAAATGTTTCTGAGAATGACCATTATATTAACCATTTAATCATCAAATATTCATATTGACCAAGAGCCTCTGTGCGTTACAGTGTCGGTCAAGTCTCAACTGCCCCAGGACTGTACCTTAGGTAACGTTGATATCGAAGTTTTCATTAATTGTTATAACAACTTTCTCACTTGTTTTCGCATCCAACGGAATCTGTTTTGTCGATAAATCACTAGAAAACATAATGTACACTCGAATTTCGTTGCCAATATATTAGGGTTTATAGTACCACATTATGTTTTCGTATAGACATTAATTTACTACTTGTTAACCACAAGAGTGTAAGTAGGAGAGTTAGTATTTAGTATTTAACAAGGTGTCTTTCAACAAAAGGGGCAACACACTGTAACGAATATGATGTTGAAAACAATACAATACGTCTTCGATCTAATGGAGATAAAGAGATAACAATGGACAGATGCTGAAAGGTGACGCAACATATTTTAAAGATTTAAACAACTTTGATGACAAATCAAAGAGAAAGAACATTTTCTGGATTCTACATGCAGTATACGTACAGCTATTCCTACCTGAATCTCCATATTGGAAAGTGATGAACTTAACATACCACGGATAATGATACTGTTTATTATTACAGTGAATATAGCAGCGAGTAACTTTACATCTGGGGACAACGATGATTACACTACCACTGGGCAGGCATCCTGGGTTACTGATGGGGTGACGTCAGGGCCGTGTGCATCAGTCACGTCCATATACCCAGCATGGGAGGCGGAGTTTACACAGAGCAGGACAGTTACCAGGATCAAGATATTCTGGGAAGGTACTGTGTCACCAGCAACAAAAAAATAACGAATGCGTACTAATACTGACAAATAGTACTAATACTGATATATGAGTATCTTTATATGAGACAAAGTACTTTATATGAGACATCTTAAATATTAATTGAACTGCTTTGAAATATTTTTATGTTACCAGCAATGCTAAAACACACCCGAATATGTATTCAGTGTGAGGTATCTTGTTCATTCTTCTCAAAACATATTCCAGATCAACAGGATGACGTGTATGTGTCTGTAGGTGGCAGAATATGTCACGCCCCGGACAAAGAGACATCGATATGCCAACTTGGAACAGTATTCTACTACAAGCAATGCTTAAATGCATCAAAATATGTATTCAATGCAAGGTATTTTGTTTATTCTTCTCAAAACATATTCCAGATCAACAGGATGACGTGTATGTGTCTGTAGGTGGTAGAATATGTCACACCCCGCAGAACTCTTCCTACAGATGGGAACCACAGTACACCCTGGACTGTGTGATATACCCGTGACGGGGACCATCTCCTGATCCATCGACAACCTACAGAAGATGCGAGAATGCTGAATCTGGGTTTCTGCGAGGTGGAAATATACGGTAGAAGATATATGTATTCAGTCAACAATGATAAATAATTTTGCCCAATCATTAGGATTATTTGTTTTAGATCTTCTATGTTGTCTATTCTTCTTCGAATCAGTTTTCTAATGTTGTTTTATTTTGCTCGCACTAAGGGTAGGCATGTCCTTTTTCTATCGGTAGCAACTGCCACTCATAATATTGCTGAGTATCTTGTTGCGTTACACTGCACAGCAGTACTCATGCGCAAACCAGACGAGCAAAGGGGTTCAGGCTAAAACGTCACCACAGCAAAACGGCATCTGGCGAAAACGGCTCCATTTGGACATAACGGAACCTCGACTTGGCGAAAACGGCTACATATCTTATGGCGAAAACGGCACCAACTAAAATCTTATATGGAAAACTAGTTTGTTATTAGATATTTAAATTCAGATAGTAAATACATCTACTGTACCGACAGTGATTCGAGGAAGTTCACTAACACCACCAGGACGCTGGCTCTGACAGGACGTTTCACAAATTGACCGTTGAACATTACTGAAGATATATGAGATCATCCATGGACTGTTTGAGCGGTTGTATATCTTCACAAAACGTATAACTGCATCAGCGCAACGCTTACGGTCTGGTTAAATATACTCATGGAAACAAATAAGGGAACACATACAAGTACAAATGTTCCGTTATTTATTTCCTGATTACCCACAGTGCAACCTTGCAAGAAGAACCTGGAAAGAACAAAGGAACACTTGAACTTTCATGTGGCAAATTGTCGACTATGAATACAAAATGAGATTAGAAAGTCGTCAAATGTAACGTATATTGTATTTGAGATTTCACTGTCTTAGTAAAAGTACAGATTCTAGTACTTTTGTTGGGTTGAGTTCTATCACAGAAAAAAATAACAAGGTACAAGGTTCCATTTTCCGGAAACCTACATGAAACTGGGAAATGTCAGAATCACGTAGGTTTCCGCTCACGCGAAAACTATGATTGTTGGTTGGTTTCAGCGACTGGAACCTGCCGGAAACCAACAAAGATTAGCTTCAGCGACTGGAAACTGCTGGATACCAACAAAGTTAGTTTCAGAAATGGAAACTTACAGTAAAGTATCATTGGTAATTTCCATTTGCATAAAGCAACTGGAAACCATCAGTAGATGAGAACTTGAATGAAGCGAACGTAAGAAGAAATTAATTTGACTCCATATATACCAGTATATACAGCATATATCAGAAACCTACGTTAAACTGCCCATATATTACATGTATATAGGTTTCAGTTTAGTGATCTCAATGTTTCTGTACACCAGAATTCAAATAAAATATATTATCACATAAAATTAATTTCAGGAAAACTTAAGCCTAATTGAAAGAATATGGAAGCTTAAAAGGTTCTACTTTGTCTCCTTTAAGTTTCGTTTGGTAAACAATTACAGATAATTTAAACTTATAAAATTACTGAGAAACCGGTAAAGGCTTCATTAGGTTTCAGTTATCTGATTTACAAGAAACTTTGCATTGGGTTTTCAGTTACAAAAGACAAAATACAGATATCAAACCAACTAACGTTATAGCAAACTATTGGACTATAACATGTACCTTGTTTGAGAAATGTATCCATCAGTATCCACATAATGGAACAATATACCATTGATCTGCAGTTACTTAAAAGCCTGTTCCATGTCACGTGACCTTGTTTCATTGGACACCAAGATAATACACCTGACAAGTTTTACATACTGTCCACAATTCTTCTAAAAGCTGAAATATTGTCGTTAATCCTTGAAGGAAGGTCGCTGTGTCTACACGACAGAATGTCAGTGAGTCTTACCTGTGTATGTTGTGGGGTGTAGACTGGATGTGTATTTCTACTACCTAAAGTTGTGAATTTTTTTATCACGATGATGAGTTAAAATAATTTGTGCTAAGATTTTCACTTTCAATTGGAAATCAATGATTCCGATTATATTTTTGAAATGATATTTTCTTTTCATGCCAGACCACGAATAAAGTAAAATATTCTCTAAAATCTGGTAGGCAGACGCAGTTATACTTTTACATGTATATCACTTGGTTGTACAATATATTTTATTTTCAACTTACGAATTCAGTGTTACCCGAATTTAGTGTTACCCGTATATTTTCCATGCTTATCATCACACTGGGATTCGAACCCACAAACTCAGAGTCAGGCACCTAATCAGCAGAACACAATGGCAGACGCCTAGCTGCTGCTTAGGCACAAAGGGGGCTTCCACAATGTCCGTGGTCAGACCACCAATACTAGAATCTAGCGCTTTACTTACTAAGAAAGTATAATCCAAAATATGACATATGTTGAATTGTCAAATGCCAAATCAGTCCGCTACCAAATCAGATACATTGTATCATATGCCTTCCATTCAAACTACATTGAAATTAAAGAAAGACATGTATGTGTTTCTTTAGCTGATTCGGTGTTAACGTCTTCTTCAGTGTCTTCTTCCACAACTACTACTATGCCAACAACATCCACGACATTGTCTACGAGAAAAGTGAGCTACTTCACCAATGGCATCCTCGACAATAAGTAAAGAGTTCTGGGTCAGCATGGATAAAGAGGTACAACGTCCTTAACATCCATTCCAACACCGATGACATCGGCGGTTGTATCCACTACGGCAGAAACATCAAACACAATGGTCACACCACGGACTGCGACAGCACACCCATCAGAAGCATCCACGCTTCCATCCAGAAGTGCTGAGGTAAAGGAAGTGATATATATGTGTTTGAGGGTTCGTCAAAGACGAACGGGTTAAAGGAACAATGACAGAGTGCAAAACTTCTTGCAGGTTGTAGTTATTGTCACCTCCGGAGATGAGGTGAGGTGAAGTGGGTTTAACGTCGTGCTTACCTCGGAGGTAAGCGCAATTATCGGCAACAGTTTAACTCCACATTGATATTGCATATATTCAAACAAACCAGACTTGGATATAGGTTATCGTTGCACGTGACATTTCAACAGCAGAGATTTTTGAAGTGTATATTAATGCCATGAATAATACACAGTTGAATTGTTTACTCGGCGAACACAATGATAACCTCGAGTCTTTCATTGCTGATAATCAAGATCGATTTATGTCGCTGACCTTTTGTGTTTGTAATGCATTGTGGGTACGCATGTAATATATGTATATAATACACTCGCATGCACACATATAAGAGAAAATACCCCTCATCATTACTAATTACATTTTACTATGAGGTTATATGATTAAGAATCAAGCGGGTCATATGTAAGGATTATGAGAGTTAGTGCAAAGGGAAGTCTTTTTAGTGTATGTTGTCAGAGATATTTCCCACCAGGCGTAAAATACACTCTTTCAATTCTGAAGAGCGCCGTAATCAATCACATACATTGCATGGTGACGGGTGAAAACGTCTTTTGTGTCTTGCCTGAAAAAATATTTTTCATCCAAAGAAGAAGGCATTGTTGAAAAGGATATCAATACCGCTTACAAATGTGTATTTCACCTAAAAAAGTAACTGTTCAAACTGATAATGTGTAATGTGTTTTGATTTCCTCGCTTGAATGCATCGCTACATTTTCAGGGTCCCCGATAGCACGTTCCCACTACTGTACGTCATTGTCGTGGGTGTTGTGGTTGCTGGTGTCATCGCTGTTGCGGTTGTTGCTGTTATTATTATGATGAGGTATGGGTGCATCTATCAAGAGATGGTAAAAGTATTATGTTCTATAGGTTATGATGATAGAGCATAATTTAATGCTTCGCTGGAAGATGAACGGGGACGAATATACCGTAACAATAGGCTGATCTCAAATTCCCCTTTGTTATTGACAACGATAATGTCAAAACATCCTGACACAAAGGTCCTCATACTTTTACTGTAATAATTCATTGCAAAACTACTGCATTATTACACTGCACATTTTGGGCAGAGGAACATTTCTCTGAGACTCCGTCGACACATATAAATAACACCTCTGTCAAGATGTAGAATATTAATGACGTAATTACCTCTCTTCTATCAGAGGAATTTGGTTTGGTTGTTTCACCGGAACTGTTAATGTCAACGATAATGTCAAAACACTTAGGTCCTCATGCTTTTACTGGAATAATTCATGGTGAAACTGTACTGGATTCCACATTTGGGCAGTGGGAACATTTCGTCTACACATGTAAATAACACCTGTCAAGATGTAGAATATTAATGACATGAGTACAGCTTGTTCAGCTTGACCTGAGCTACTCTACATATGCATGACCCAGGATGTCCAAATGACACAAACGGCAGGTCGGACTATCTCAATTAAATAGGAGAAGAGAATGTTATTAATGTTCCGTTCGTGCGAAACCATGCATACATGGATTCGTTACAGTACTTATTGCCGGAAAACAACACTTTTGACAAAAAACATAATTTCATGTTTTACTTGAA